CCCCAGCGGGAGGCATGGCTGCAGCTCCGGCATGCCTCGCCAGACACAGCCAGAACAGCAGCACAGACCCAGCAGCACAGGCTGTCAGGGTAGATCCCGGGTGCAGTTGTACCCCAAGGGTGCCGGGAGAGCGGCAGTCACCCCTCAGAACTGCCGTCTGGACGCACCCTCCAGTTCTCTGCCCTCCCTTCAGCTCCGAACTGGGGGACCCCACCGTCGCTTTACTGCGTGACGCGTGTTGGGCCCACAGCACAGAGATCTGGTAGCGTTGGCAGCACAGGCTGTCAGGGTAGATCCCGGGTGCAGTTGTACCCCAAGGGTGCCGGGAGAGCGGCAGTCACCCCTCAGAACTGCCGTCTGGACGCACCCTCCAGTTCTCTGCCCTCCCTTCAGCTCCGAACTGGGGGACCCCACCGTCGCTTTACTGCGTGACGCGTGTTGGGCCCACAGCACAGAGATCTGGTAGCGTTGGCCTCCGCGCTGGCTGAGGGCCCCTCTGTGCGCCTCAGCCACCGAGCCAGTTCCTAGCTCACAAATTCAAACCAGCGGCCTACGTCCGACAGAGGTGGAGCAAACCCGACCACATGGGCCCAGGCCACCGTAATGTGCACTCCTAGCTTTGCCTGGGGGAGGGGCTGGAAGAGAGACTGCTGAATTTAATACAAGCAATTCTAGGGTGGAGAAACTGGAGCCAGGGGCGACGAGCTGGACATTCTCACGGCGAACACTTTCAATCTTTAACACAGCAGCCTTTATCCAAATGCTTCCGAAGTTGCAATATCTGGGTGCTTGTGACAGTCAAATGCCGCCCAGCTGATTAGCAGAGCGCCCGCTGCTAGGATTTTGTTTCTACTGGTGGTGCACATTCGCACATGCACGTACAATTTATTCCACACAGGGATGGCAAAGCTTAGAGGGAACCTTGGCCACCACCGAAACGTGGCCACCTCTGGAGCAGAAAACAGCAGCTGGCGTGTGTTGTTAAACAACACTGCGCAGCGAAGTGTCCTGCATGCCGGGAATTGCAGGCAGGCAGGAATTCCCTGGGCTGGAATTCAGGCAGGACACTGGAGCTGGGAAAAATGTCCGAGAGTCGGGACCTCTGCTTAGCATCTCATCTGAACGGCAGAACGTGCAGCAGAGCTGCCAGCAGGCCAGAAATTGGTGGCAAGCCAACACAGGCGCATCTGGGACAGGAAACGCAGGACTTCCCTGCTGGAAGCCACGCTAGGTAATTCTGCAACAGCGTCGGGGGGGTACAAGCAAGCCAAGGGCAGGAGCC